ACATTGTCCATGACCAGAGATAATCTTTGCTATGACAAATTATATGCTGTTGGCATAAGAGGCAATATACTGTCGTGGATAATATCTTATCTCAAATCCAGGAAATAAAAACTTACCAGAAGCAAACTATGATATGTACAGTATTGACCTCGGAGTTCCACAAGGCTCGGTTCTAGGTCCACTGATATTTCTGTTATTTATTATTGACTTACCTTTTCACGTGAAAACAGAATGCATGGTTCTCTTTGCGGATGATACATCTATTGCAGAAGAAGCAGATAGTATTTTAGAACTCAATGATAAACTAAATATCGTCGCCAGTGGGTTTACTTCTTGGTGCAAAAACAATAAATTGACGTAAATACATAACACCTGTTCTCATTCAAGTTTTTGGCAAGAAAAACGTTGAGAGACCCATAGATGTTGTGAATAATTCATTCATAAACCCTTCAGACTGAACTAAGTTTCTTGGAACATATATCGACACAGGATTGACATGGGAAAATCAGCAGTTTTTACGCTATACTACAACTGAAAAGTGTCCTAGACGAAAAATCGCTGATAAAAAAATAAAGTATTATATAATACTATGGGGAGCCAGTAGTAATATAAGGGTATTTGTTGCACAAAAGAGAATTATCCGGTTGATATTCAATCTGAAAAGAACCGATTCTTGTAAACCCTACTTCAAAAATAACAGAATACTCACTTTACCATGCATATACATCCACAGCTTGATTACTTATATAAAAAAACATGAAGCTTCAATTATAACTAATGGTGAACAGCACAGATATCCTACGAGAAATGGAAATCTACTGAAAATGATCAAGCACAAAACGAAACTTTTCGAAAAGTCACCCATTTATATAGGGTCAAAGTTCTTCAATTGTCTGCCCATTGAGATCAAGTCGCTGCCAAATGCGAATAAAGTGAAACAGAAAACGAAAGAATTTCTCAGCAGTCAAGGTTTCTACTCGTGTGAGGACTTCATCAACTTCGAACCATGCACACAATCCTCAGAATTTGAATCAATGTATTCCTATTTTTATATATTTATATGTATATTTTTATTTTAGTTTAGTAATGTAAATGTCTGTACTCATCTGTTATACATACTTTGTTTTGTAATATTCATGAATGTCTGTTCAGTCATTTCATTATATTTCTTTTTTTTTTGTTGATCAATATTCAATGGTCTGAAGGCATATCTTCTAATTATATTAAATTTAAAGTACACGCGTTTTCCAATCACAGAGTGTCCTTCAATAAGCCACTAGGATGGTTCCATGGGCATATTCCCCACCTCTATTGAAGTACCATGAGTACGTGAGAATGAGCTATCTCTCTCTCGCAAAGCTAATGGGGCCTGAACTAGGTCAGTTTTTCGCCGGCATTCTCAAAAACATAAAAATCGCAATATTGTGTAATCAGTTCATGTGTTCTGAACTCTAATCCTTCTGTGAACGAACTCGAGTGGTTTTCCAACCCCTGAGGAGGTCTACGACGGTACCGTCTCCAAGATATTCGGCGTGGTGAAGAAGACATCATCGGTAAGTGGCCATGTTAGAACGCTCTGTGATTTGACGAATTTATCTGATGACAATTTCAAAAATACAGTCCACTTTTATCATAAACAAAACAATGTCTATATTTACCACTATACATGTAACCATTTTGTAAATTGACTTTTCCTATATCATTTTATATTGGTCTTTTGGATGAATAAACTATTCTATTCTATTCTATTCATTTCGAATACAACATGAAAAAACCCTGCCCTACCGTGGATCGATCCCGCGACCTTCAGATTACCAGGCAGATGTGCTAACCATTACTCTACAAATAAAAACAATTTTTGAAATATCAGATGAGCATTTTATAGATGTGCAATATTTCAGATCCATTTTACCGCCACATAATTGTACAGGGTGGTCAAAAATAATTTTCAATTCTGAAATATTGTATGATACCGGGTGACCAGTTATATTCTGACCCATTTCAAATGCTTATATCTCTGAAACCATTCAATTTATCGTTGTGCAGTTTGGACTAGTCTATTTTGATATTTTTCAAGTTTTTTTTTACAGTTTCACCTCCTCTCTTGAACTTCCGGTTCTACCGGAAACAAACTAGCCATTATTCAGGTATAGGGAAACTTTTTTATTTCATCGAAGCACCCTGTATATTTTTGTACATTCAGAAAGACTGGTCTTTTCTCTTCCTAACAATGTATAACAAGTTATTTTTCCTCAGAAAACTATCAGAGTTATAACTCTTTGAAGCATCTACTGCATATTAGGATGTTATCCTGAAATGCTGAATTACCGTATATTGAGTATAAATCTGATGCAGATTTATGATGAGTTCATTTGCTTTTTCAGTCAGAGTAAACATTTTTTCAACTCGAAGAAAGTACAAATGCTCGACAATCTTTATTTGACACATCTAATCTGGCATTTCATGTGTTGTGATCAGGATTTCCAAAGACGACTTTGGTTACATTGCAAAATCTCATTAAACCATTCCACATGCAGTAGTTGTTTCAAACAGTTATAACTCTGATAGTTTTCTAAGAAAACATAACTTGTTATACATTGTTAGAAAGAAAAAAGACCAGTCTTTCTGAATGTGCAAAAATATGCAGGGTGATTCAATGAAATAAAAAAGTTGCCCTATACCTGAATAATGTCTAGTTTGTTTCCGGTAGAACCGGATGTTCAAGAGAGAAGGTGAACCTGTCAAAAAAAACTTGGAAAATATCGAAATAGACTAGTTCAAACTGCACAACGATAACTTGAATGGTTTCAGAGATATAAGCATTTGAAATGGGTCAGAATATAACTGGTCACCCGGTATTTATGTGTACGATCGTTTACCATTGATACATCTCTGTATTTATATTGGGTATCTAAAGCTGTAACACCTTCTATATCCAGAGGACTATTGAATTATTGTAACTGTTTCATGAATTCCATAATTGGTGGACGATAAAACAATCAGAATAGCGTGTATGTAATGTATGTATATAAGTTTCAGATTCTCCATCTTGAATTCCGGGGAATATTCTAAAAGGAAACTCTGATTCATTAGGTGACGTTCTATAACGGTAAGATGCGGTAAGTATTGTCCGAATTTGGAATATTATGAAAAGCTATATACGAGGATATTCGAAATGCGTATATGGGAGGTGATAACGATACCATCGTAGAATTTGAGGATGTCACAAATACCGTAATCTAATAGGTGCTTTATCAGACATCTATTAATGACTATGCCTGAGGTATTCACTGTATAAATGTTATTATCACAAGATATGTGTAATTCAACCGTAGAAGATTATGAGAGGATTGGGATAGATTTAATGCTATTGCAATTGACTGTCATAAATTTTGAATGTTTGATGGAGTGCTGCAAGATGGCTTTATACATGATGATTTTAATATTATTTCATTCTGCCATCCCGAAACGTCCAAAGCTGAATGAAAATTTGATATTTCTCCTAGATACCTTTATTTCCCTTCTCCAAACCTTTTTCAATACAAATTGTCACTGACAAGCTAGTGAATTTTTCTTTTAGGCTCTCTGATAGGAAAATTCTTTAAACGCAGTGACATTTTGGGGCAAATCATCTGATTTGTCCTTACTACACGTATATTGAAATATTATTCATGTTTTTATTTTATAGAAACGAGGAGAGAAAATCCCAGACAATCTGGAATAATAAACATCAAGATCATTTGATTCGTCGAACATTCAATGGGTTTATCGCTATACCTATTACATCAGTGGAATTTCAATGGCTAGTTTTTCCCTTCACATAATTCTTAAAAGAAAAATCAAATTCAATTTCATCCTGTCCTTTTACTAGTTTTATGATCCAGGAAATGAACCACAGGTTGCTATACCTCCAGTCGTATCTTTTAACATAACAATCATTTCTTAAGGAATATTATGTACACAATCGGCAATAAATCAGTAGTTTATTGTGTGATAAATCAGGAATAGACGTGTGGTCAACGGCCATTGACTCTGAGTATGAATTAACTCGAGAATTCCATATTGATAATGATGTAAGAAATATTGGGTTTTGTTTTGTGCCTCTCGAGATCTGGGTTTCATGACAACAAATCAGAAGGGAGCTGTTAAGAGAATATTGAATTTTGTGTTTATACATATATTATTCAAAATATTAACAATAAATTGTGGAATAACCCGAAATCAGATGATTCAATTTATGTTCAGGATGTCCCAGAATGGTCTTCACAAAAAACTACTACAAATCCCTCAGACCAAATCAAAACAGACAAATTTGCTTAGTTTGGGCGCTGAACGCAGCTCTGAAGTTATAGTTTTCTAATCGTTTTTGCTTCATAGCTTTGAAACGGCTCGTGAAATATCAAATTTGGTACGTTGGCATAACTTTCAGTAAATAAATATCTAATACTTCTACTCCTATAGAATGAAAGGGGTTCGAATATTAAATTTGGATTGTTTAACAAGTTACGCAATCCAAGTTTCATCTTCAAACCCCTTTCATTCCATTGGAATAGAAGTTTTAGATGCTCATTTACTGAAAATAAATGCCCTACGAATGATATTCATCATAATCATGATAGGATTTTTTTATCCAATGAAGCTATTCCAAAGTACCAAATTTGAGTGGAATGCTATGAAGCAAAAACGATTTGAAAATTGTTACTTCAGAGTAGTATAGCGCCCAAAGTAAGCAACTACCTATATCCTTACACTGAAAAAAAAAGATGGTAGTTATTACCAAACGTTTAGTAAAATAGGCGCCAGTCACAACTTTCATCAAATGATACCACTACAACATTATATAATACTATACAATATCGAATATTACCACTACAAAATAGTATAATACTCATAGTTTAGTAGGTATTTTATAATGTTGTAGTGATATCATTTGATGAAAGTTGTGACTGGCGCCTATTTTACTAAACGTTTGGTAATAGCTACCATCTTTTTTTTCAGTGTAGGCAAATTTGCTAAAATCAATCTGATTGTTGAGATCTGAGGAATATGTGGTAAGTTTTCGTAAAGACCTTCTAGGGACACCCTGTGTATTGCCTTATTTAACTTGATAACTAGAATCTTCTCAGCTGACTAGTGATGTAACCATGATCGTTTGCTCGTCCCAAATGGGAAAGAGTCTCAGGAAGAAGAGAAAGAAAGAACTGTTGTCAAGTAATAATTGTCGAAGATATCACACCTAGTTATTTCCTGCCTAGTTTGCCCAGGAAGGAAAAAGCCCCATAAATGCCTATCATTGATAACATTTTGTTCACCATGGCAAACCTTTGGGATCTTGAAGACATGCTAGCTACTTTTTGTACTTCAGCTCCATTTGTATGGTCTCCAACGTCTTTCCTTTCGTCTCAGGCATAACGAGAACGAAGAAGAAGATACCGAACAGAGTGATCAGGCCAAAAGTGACAAAAGGCACGAACAAAGCTACATGATCACTGGTAAATTGGTAATACTTCGTAGTGGCCATGGTACCCAATCCATGGATCACCATGAATAAGCACGTACCTTCTGCTTTGACACTATTCGAGAATAGTTCCGTTGCGAAAACATTGATGACAGTGGCCATACCGCTATAGCAAATGAAGTAGCAGACTATCAGGACGAGAAGTAACCACGTTAGGTTGGACAGGTCCAAATGGAAATAGAACCTCAACAGAAAGAATGCGCTGATACCGAAAAGACAGACAGTCGTCGTTGTCGAAGATATCACTGCTAGTTTCTGCCTGCCTAGCCTGTCCAGCAGGAAATTCCCTCCGATGTAGGAAAGGAGAGTGAAGACTCCGATTATGAACATACCCCACACTGCTGAAATCCTTTCCTGGTCGAGCAAAACTTGCGCATAGGCGCCTATAGCGTTGAAGCCAGTGCCCAGATGCAGAAACTTCACGCACAGCATGAGGAATATCGCTCTGCGATTGGCTGGGATGGTGAATAGCTCTCTGTAGCCGCCTCGCTCCGACATCTGTCTATCGACGTCAGCTTGAAGGGAACAAGCCTCAAGTTCGACGTCCTGTTTCCTTCTGAGCAGCCTCAGGCTTCGCCGAGCTTCTTCTGTGTTCTTCTTCATGAGCAGGTAGTAGGGAGATTCGGGCATGCTGGTAAAGGTCAGCAGGAACAGAATGGGAAAGGCTAAAGATACCAAGGCTGTGACTTGGATGCTGAGGTAGTAGCCGTACAGACTCATAAGGATGTACGATATCATGTATGCTATGTTGATCGAGTTGACGAGCATTCCTCTGATAGAGGGGGAGGCTATTTCTGCTATGTAGATGCCCACTATGCCGGTGGCACTAGCTTCTGCTATGCCTCCTGGAAATTGATGAATTATAGTTCATTCATGGATTCATGGAAAGTCGTGAATCGTGAGAATGGATACTAATCATGATATTTTTTTTACCAGTCAAAGTGGGAGCCCAAAGCTCGAAACCGGTTCGTTTATGAACATTTGTGGAAACGACTGAGCTTCGCGTATATATTCAGTCAAATTGTATTTTCAGTAGTAAAGTCACGAGGTACTATCATTATCTTCCAACTCACAGATATTTCAAGTTACTGAAGCCGAATCTGAGGTTTGGTAACAACATTTTTCCAAAAGAGGTGTTTCTTTGCTTATTACTCGAAAACTATCAGCTTTTTTCAAATAACCTCTCTATCCAGGAAGGAAGTAAATGGAATTTCCTTCAAATTTAATGAAATAGTTTATTTTTACTCAATCAACCGTTCGCGTCTGAGAGCTAGTTGACAATTGGCATAATTCGACTATCTTCACTCCAAAACAACGAATTGATATCAACATCAGCTGTCGATAATTAGGCAATTACTCGTAGCTCCCTACTATCATTCAGATTGTTGATGAGAAAACAAAAGTCTAATTTCATATCATTATATCATATCATAAATATATTGAGAGGGTAGTCCTTGCTGACTAGAGGTAAAACTAGGTTTATTGGGATATGCAGCAAAGTGAAAAGAGTACTCTTTAAAGTTTGTCCAAGCTTTCGGAATATTATATTTTCATCATCAGGGTACTACAACAATTTTCCATTAGGTCCATTAATTGTAGCAAGAAAAATTTTGACTCACATCTTTGTTGAGGTTGGTTCACATTAATGTTGATAATGATAAAATTGTATAAGACGATAATGACATAGTTGATAAGACGAACAAAAAACAGGATCAATCACAATTGTATGAAATTAGTTAATTTGTAAAATGTTGAAAATGTGAGAACATGTGAAGAAATCATCATTTTAGCGGCAAGTACTAATGATGTAGTAGGTTAGGTTGAAAGAGGAGAAGATGAAAGTTAAACTTCTACATCATTAGTACTTGCCGCTAAAATGATGATTTCTTCACATGTTCTCACATTTTCAACATTTTACAAATTAACTCATTTCATACAATTGTGATTGATCCTGTTTTTTGTTCGTCTTATCAACTATGTCATTATCGTCTTATACGATTTAATCATTATCAACATTAATGTGAACCAACCTCTACAAAGATGTAGTGCCCTGATGATGGAAATATGATATTCTGAAAGCTTAGACAAAACTTCAAAGAGTACTGTTTTCACTTTGCAGCATGGGTAGAGGTCGAGTGTAGTATTTCTTGACATCATATTTATTGTTGAAGTTTGGAGAATCATTGTTCTTCCGCGAGACTTTTTCTGTCCCTAATGAATATCCACTCATCGCGTGCAAACAATATATGAAAACCATCTATTCCTATAAGAATAAAATTACAAAGATTTCTCATCTAATTTTTTTCTTCATTATAATTTCAATATATAATATCATTGTCAAATTTGTCATTTCTGGAATTTCCTACTCTCCTTCTGGTTTTGGCTTTTGTCTTATGGCGACCGTTTGATACAACTCAAGGATTGAATGGATTTTGAAATTTCGTTCCTTCAATTCCCCTGATGTTTAACTAAGTTATTACTTTTATTTCTGGTTGTACAGTCGATATAAATTGTGATTGCACATGAGGGTCTTAGAGTCGAAACTGGTAAAACAATATGTTTATCATGATTAATCATTGTAGTAGACCGTGTAGTATAGAGAAGACAAGAAATATAGATATAATTCATCTCTCCAAAAATTTTTTCAAACAAAGTGTCACTAACAAGCTATTGGATTTTTCTTGTAGGCTCCCTGATTGAAAAATTTGTTAAACGCAGTGACATTTTGGGGCAAATCATCTTGCCTCTTTTTTTATGTTCTGGTTCCCACGGAAAGGGATATCCTATAATGTTCAGAGAACATCGTAAGAGCCAAGGAAAATGAGGTAGAAATTGGTGTTCTTCTTGAATTTCTGGAGGTTATATGCCTCGGGAAACACGTCCCTTGGCAATGTGTTCCAGAGCCCCGCTGTTCGTTGGATAAACGACTCTTTGGAAAGAGATGTTCTGCAGGTCTCCAAAGTGACGACGAAGGGGTGCGAAGCCTCAAGTCGACGAGTTAATCTCGCGGGGACTGCCAAGGGAGGAACAATTATTGTTGATATTTCAGAAGAGCATCGTCCATGGAAATATCTATGAAAAAGAGCCAGATTACCAACTTTTCTACGGTGTGTACAGAAAAGTGAGTGAGTTTGTGAGCGAGGCATCACCCACGAGACGAATTGCCCTATTTTGGACAAAATACAACAGTTTCAGGGTATGTCTGGGCAGCTGACTGGCAGTGAAATAGCTCCTGGCCCGAAACAGAAAACCAAGTTTCTGGGATGCACTTTTAGCAATTGATCTCACGTGATTTTCCCAAGAAAGGTTATTGCTGATAGTAATACCAATAAGCATCGAAATGGATCTCTTCAAAGGTATGGTTACTCCTGACAAGCTTAAGTTGGGCACAGTGAGATTGGCTTTTCTAGAGAAAAGACATGCTTGTGTTTTGTTTGCATTGAAATCTACCAAGCTATTGGATCCCCATTCGAGAATTGTTGCCAAGTCCATATTTATGTTGTCAACATTTCTCCCTTGTTTGTTTCTTATTTGCCTGGCTGGTATTGGAGCCTTGGAAGAGAAGGCGGTATGGAGGGTACAATCATCCGCAAAGCTGTGTACAGGACATGGAGTTGCTGCTACACATATATTGCAATAATACTCATAATTTCATTTAATGGAAACGAGGAGAGAAAATCCCAAATAATCAAGTCAGATGAATGAAAAAAACAGTTTTGAACCATGAAAAGTAGGGGCGAATAAATCTTGTTCTTATTGCATAACTCACCCAACACCCGAGCTACGTAGAGCAAAATTTTCGAAAAGTCACTCAAAGAGATCATGAGGAAGGAGGCTACCATCGGTAGTGACGTCCACACTAGCGTCCATTTTCTGCCGATGACGTCCATTAGGTGGGCGGACAACACTGCCCCAACTACGAACCCTATTTGGTTTATGATGGCGAGGTATGAAGCCTCGTCGGAGGACATCTTGAAGGGGTACTCGTCGGACATCACCTTGTTCAGGGAGGGAATGATCCATGAGAAGCTGAGGCCGCTCGAAAATTGACAGATGCAAGCTGAAATCGGATTGAAATGGTATATTTTTACTGTGACGCTAAAGAAGTTTGAAATTTCATCTCTGTTGACAGGTTTTAAAATGTCACATTTCATAAATTACTTCTTTTCCATGGGAAAAAAGTGAGTACTTTTCACCCGGATATATATCACATATACAGGGTGTCTGTAAAAGGTCTTTACAAAAACATACCACATATTCCCTAGACCAATACAAAGTTCCATCGTTTGGGCTCCAGGGGGCCTTGAAGTTACAATTTTTAAATCGTTTGTCCCATATGAATGCAAAGCGGCATATGCGATTTTGCTGAAATTTGGTATATTGATATAGTTTTATGTAGCAAAAAAAATGGTGTTAAAATTTTGTCCGATAATAATAAATAGGCGTTGAACTTGATTTTTTAAATAAGTGCACCTTTAAAAATTCTACGCCAATGGAAGAAAAGGAGTTTGAGTATGAAATTTGGATTGCGCAACTCATTTACTTTAAAAAAAAAATACTCTTGATAAGACTCGATTGCTCTTACGGTTTTCACGAAATTTGCATTTTAGTAATTTTAGAACATAAACAATAATTATTAAAATACAAACTTTCTCAAAACCATAATAGTAAATCGAGTGTTATCAAGGGTACTTTTTTGTAGTAAATGAGTACCCAATCCAAATTTCATACTCAAACCCCTTTTCTGCCATAGACGTAGAACTTGATTTTTTCAATAATTGCATCTTTAAAAATTTCGATTTCGAAACATAGGAAACGTAACTGCCAAAATTTCGAATTTCGAAATCCTTTGAACAAATGTTTCCATTTTGTTTCGTCTCTCAAAAACGCTCCACATGTTCAGAAAATGTTATACAGGGACAAATATAGGGGAAGAGGTACCTACTATTAGGGTTGTCCCCACTATACCAATATGGATTAAGAAGGAAGCCCAAAAGGAAAAGATGCAACACAAAGTCGGTCGACCACACTTTATATACCAGAAATCTTCAGTGAAATATAACCGGTTTCGGCTCTGCGGCCATTATCAGACGATGGTACCAAACAATGTGGGACTCAACATGTAAAACAATAAATCATGGTACTATACGATTTTCGTCAACTGGTTGACCATGATTTATTGTTAAACATGAGTCCCATATCGTTTGATACCATTGTTTGATGATGGCAATAGAGCCGAAACCGGTTACTTTTTACTGAAGATGTCTATATGAAGTGTGGACGATCGACTTTGTGTTGCTTCTTTTTCTTTGGAAATTATTTTGGACCACTTTGAGATATGGATGATTTTCATGATTTGAGAAGGAAGCAATGGTAGCCTACCAGAGGATGCAGTACTCAAGATCCTGGGTGAACGAAGGGTCACTAATGAGACGTGCTGCAATTGCTACAAGGGTAGAACAGGAAGTCCCTATCTCCAATCTCAGAGTAAAACAGGCACAAGACAGGCTGAGATGAAATAAGAGGTTCTCCCTCACCATAGAGTAAGTCCTCACAATTCCGAGCAGAGAACAGTAGGAAGGGAAAGCTGTGAAGTTTTTGCCACGAAGCTTAGTATGTTACACAGTCGGTGCCAAGAACTGCGCGTTCTCATAGGTGTCCTTACAGGAGACAACCGGCTAGGTAGAAACCTATCGCTAATAGGTGTAGAAGATGGGAATATGGAAGGCTAAGATTAGAAATCTTTGGTGCTGATACTCTTTATCGAAAAGATTCAATAATTATAACCTAAGAAGAACATTGAAGAACCGTCGAAAAAAGAATCTGAAGAACTACTCGAGATGAGTAGAAACCAAGTCAGAACAATAACGGGACTTCTCACTGGTCACAGTCCAACGAGAGGACACCTGAATAAGATGGGACTGTATAATGGAAAACTTTTCTGCAGAGAATGCAGTAAAGGGGCAGAAACGGCAAAACACTCATTAATAGAATGCGAGGCATTGGATTGCAGAGAAGTATTCGGGCAGCCTAGGCTGACTCCCAAAGATTACAACAGCCAACCGGTGAAGAATATGTACAGACTAGTGCAGGAAATAAGAGCTACGGAATGGGTGCTGTAAAATAAACTGAAATGCACAAAGAAGTCCAGGAGGCTGGGGTGTAGCCGGTGACAGGACCAGCATCCAAGAAAAAACAAAAAAAAAAAAGGTGAACAGACATACTAACCTTCATCAGAAGGTCACGGAGGTTCGAAAAGAAGCATTAGGAGATGGAAGAATAGATGGCAGGGGTCACCAAAAATTGCCCATGGGGGCCTACTTGCTAGGCAACCGCTTCCCCTCTCTTTCACTACAACTACTACTCCTACTACTACTAGGGTAATGAAATTCGAATGTATTCCAAAAGTCGAAATAAAAAGTTACACAGGACATGCAGGGACATAAAATCGCCTTCCAGACATCTTCCACAAGTTGGAGAAATTCACAAGGCATTGAAAAACAATATTGGAAAATTATCAACACAGAAACATGAATATATTTTTTTTATCGCTTGGTGCGCACGAAAGGGAAAAAGGGCAATATAATGTTCATGATGTTAATCATAGGGAGAACTATCCGGATTCGAAACGTCATATCTAGCGAAAAGATGATGTTTGTTCTGTTCGCATTCATTTTCCTCGAAGGCAGCATCAGTTATAGCAACTCAAACTTTCATTCACATCGGGAAGAATATGGTATGGAAGGTATGGTATGGAAGGTACCCTAGTGACTTTTACCAGAACTCGAATTATCAAATTTTAACAATTTTTTTTTTATTTTGGTCCATTCAACAGAGAACAAAAAGAAGGGATGTATCTCATCAGAAGTATTCTACATGTTGAGTACATTCAACATAGGGACATAATATAGGAGAATGAAGTTCGGAATTTCTCGATAGTAGAAAATAAAAATAAAACTGGGACATAATATATAGATAAACTTTCCCTCCAGAAATCTTTCACTTTGGTAATTCATCACAACGAATTCGAGAGAAAAAAATCCGAAACATTTTTAACACAGGGATATACCTACACCGAAAGAAAAATCTCAGTAATAATTATCAAATATTTGTTAACGTCATATTTGTTCATAATTAATTAGCCATATTCATAATTGAAAGGGCTTATTCATCAAAATCGTACCTGTTTTTATGCTTTATTTATCAACAATAAATGATTTATTACTGTCATATTTGTTCATTGTGAACAACACTATTTAATAATAAACAATTCATCTATTACGCCGATTCACGAAGTGATAATCAATAAGATGAATTTATAATTATAATGTGATTTGGTGATAATTATCAATGATATATTTGTTTATTATAAATATACGTAATATAAAAGATAACGATGGATATTTCATTTTATTCTTCGTTTGGTTATTATAATAATTCATTTGGTAATAATCAAAAAACTGTCATGCGCATGGGCCATCATTTTAGTTAAGCTTCCATCTTATATACCGTGAGCATCTTTATATCGAAATCGTTGGTAATTTCCTTGTGATTTCGACCAACGCGAAAGCTATGAAGTGTGATGGTTATATTAGTTCAATCCCTGATAATATGACAGTGCGGTTTTGTTTACATCTGGACATGTATGTTCACGTCTACAATTAGCTTCTTGGCATAATTTCATGTGAAGGTACGACATCACATATGAAAAAAATGGCAGACGACTATCAGTGTATCTCGAGGTGCATCGATTTTACAACATTCAGTGAGTTGAAAAAAAAAACAGTGGTGCATGTAGTGCTCATCAATCAATATTGGAACATTTTCAACGTGAGTAGGTGCGAATACCTATGCATGAGTATTTCCTAATATTATTTGCTTTGCATGAATTTGAAAGAAAGTAATATATGTACATACATGGAATCGTGGGTATGCCATCATATAGCTGAGAGCTGATGAGTTTGATTATATACTTATATTACTTATATGAATAAAATTCGTTAACTGTTACTAAATTCGTTATTGATATAAGGCTTAGAAACACCCCCTCGTGGTGATCCACGAGTGATGGTAATACATCGAGATTTAATGAATCAATCAGCAATTTTTTTGAAATGAAGACATTGAATTATAACAGCGAACAAAATATTTATTTATTATCAATAAAAGGTTGACAGATATTCGATTCGAATTTCACATCAGTTATATTCTGATTCTGTTCATGAAGTAATAGTATCTTCTCAATATTACACCGAAAAAATATTAGATTTCAGCTCTCGGTTTTTAGTCTCCCTCCTCTTATATACGCTCTAATACTATTTTGAATAATAAATAACTATCTGAATACAGAAAATTGAAATAGTCATAACTAGAGAACGGATGGTGTGATTTAACTTCAGTTTGTTCTATTCGCATTCAGTCTTTTGTAATAAGAAGGAATTTGAGAAAAAATATACTCACCGCAAAACGTTACTATATATTGTGATGTCAATTGTCCGTCATTTTTTTCCAAAAATGTAATTAAAGGATTTCGAAGTCTTGTCATCATATCCACGAAATTTAGTACAGAACTGTTCAATTTTCAACACACGATGATAATAACACGCGTGATTTTAAAAAATATAGTACTTACTTATGAATAGGTATATCTAGATAACAAATCTCAAAATTATAAATTCATAGTAACATAAATTAGAGATAATGTACTTCAATATTATCCATAATGCTTTATTAATGTAATAAAACTATAAAAGATTCAGGATTAAAACGAACTAATACCACTCAAGGTGGATTTATGCACACCGCTTTTTCATTAATCTGTTACTTTCATTAACTGTCATTAAGTTCATTTTCACTCCACCTCTTTCTAATTTTGAACTCTTCTTTTTGGTCAAAACATAGTCCTCAGCGTACATAGCCCGATGAATATATTTGTGTTATAACATTCAGTGATCACATAATTACGATGAGAATCATTCATTCATGTTGTTTTCAAAGTCTAATTTGAACATACGGCTATGATTTTCAGAATTTTCAACCACATTTCGGAAAAAGAAGAGAGAGAAATTGTTTGTCTGATTTTTGACAGAATCCCGCTTGCGCAAGTCAGAGTTTTATTTTGCCAAATTTACCACTCTGTAGCATTATTAATTCTTCTCCGATTCTGATGAGATTTCGATCAAATCACGCCACTATCGTCTTTCTTATAGAAAATACAAGTTTTTTGAGAAAGTTTTGACTTTTTTATTAACATTTATTCAGAAACAATTCTCCAATATTCTGCTCCAAGATTTTTTGAATTGAAGTGTGACTCTTTTCGTCCCGGCTCTTGTCTCACGTCAGTACCTTCTTTTAAGGAGACAATAATACAGGTGTTTTAACAATATTTGCAAAATTTGTTCATTTTGATCAACAATAATTCAGATCCTATAGAACATATTTGCCGGAAATATGATCGAAAACTATTTGATCGAAATCATTTGATCGAAAATCATTTGATCTTGATGGAATCCGTCATTACCTAAAGTGCAAAGTCATTTCACGTATTGGATAGTTGGGGAAGGAAAATATCCCTTCTGCATAAGCATAAAAAAGAGACTACTTTTCCTAAGCAATCTAACCTAACTCTGCCTAAATGAACCTTCTGCCTAAATGAACCTTCTGCCTATAGAGTATATTTTGAGTGAAATCACTTGGGAGAACAAAAAAATACTACTGTTTGTAAACAGCCTAATATGACTTGTCCTAAATGAACCTTCTTTCCGTGATCACAGGGAATACCTGAGCTAGTAAGCAAGCGTTGTAACACATAAAAATATCCATCTCATAACAACTTTTTTTCCACATTGACTAACCATTAGCGGAATTTCTCAAAAACCGAAACCTTGTATAAACGCTGTCTTGTCCCTGTCCTTGATTGTGACATAATTTTTCGACATATTATGTTGATCACTATAATTATACTTGAACTCAAACATCTCTTCAATAACTTGATTATTATTGGTGATTTGACAATAACCTTGCATGAGTGAGAATCGAAGATTATCTGACCAATAACAAAACAGCATACAAACTGACGTCACCATTTATTCGACATATCGCCAAATGGCGGCCATGACGTCACATTTGAAATAAGCTATGAAATTCAACGATTCCAAACAACGCATAGACTTATTATTTACATAAAAAAAGCGTGAAAAGTATTGTAAAAATTATGTTAGGATCTTTGAATGCCAATAATTCATTATCAGTCCACTCGCATCAATGTGGGATTCTTAAATTGCAAGAGGAGGAGAGAGTCCAAAGATACAGTTAACGACGACCTGACAGTATCATCAGTGATCTACACTGCTCGCCAGCAGCCATGGAAAAACCCACGAGGCTGCTGGCGAGCATTGTATATCACTGATGATAATCTCAGTTGTTCATTGACTATATCGTCAGGCCCTTTCTCGCTCCTGCAAATTTCAGATTCCTACCTCAATAACTATGTAAGATACGGGGGTGCCTTCATGAAAAGTGAAACAAGCAGATTAAATTTTCCAGAACTCAAAAAAATCGAAGACAAATATGAATAGTTAGTGAATTGGACATCTTGGTTTCGAATCCGTAGTGACTTTCAACATATTATCTTGCCTCCTAATAGCATTTTCCTGAAATGTGGGTGGTTCCGTGGCTGTTGGCGAGCAGTGTATATTACTGAAGATGACCCCAGTAAGTCATAGTGTGTATTTTTGGTATATCAACAATTACGTGAGATACAGGGTTGCTTCCATGACACACTGTACATACATACACTCTGCTTCTTCTCCTTTCTTCAGTGAGGTTTCTTCTTGCTTGTGATATGAATTTCTGAACGTTCTTGTGAGTTGTTAACCGATAGGTTCATGTCGGTTCTGCAGAAATATGAAGATTATTGATATTCGGTTCAGCCGTTTTCAAAATATTCAAGGTTGAACATGTTTATGTTGGTTTTACTAAATCGCAGTTACTTTGAAGAATCATCACACATACGCAAAAAAATATGACAGAAAGTATGAATAATGACAACCTGCATATGTGTTGTTGTTGTCGAATATCAACAACCTATACCGGGTGACCCGGAACCAATTTACCCCCCTGTATCGTCGTTGTTATTTTGTATGGATGTTTCAAATTCGGTACTTCGATTTGATGTTATGAATGTACAATTTAGCAAGTATCAATCCAAATATGTCACTTCCGGTTTGACCGGAAGCGCATCCAATTTTTATATTTCGAATAGGAAGTATTTTTTTTTTTTGAAAATCACGATTCGGTATAGAATTACCTTTACAATGACATATCACAATCATACTTTCAATTCACAATCTGCTGGTATAATTGACATTTTATAAAAAAATACTTTTTGTGTTCCCCTCGTAACGGAACATTTTCATGAAAGTATGCTGTGGAAGATTGAATTATTGTTGCTTACATAATATTGTTTTTATACGATGTGTTATCTAAATGAGCACATATTACATTTTCTGAAAAACAAACAGAATTTTCCATAATATTCAATTCTTCCCATATTAACGAGAAATTTGTACCGATAATTCATCAAAAAATAGGGAAAAATAGAGTACCTAATGGAGGTACCCTTGTGACTTTAGCCAAAATTCGAATGATCAAATCTGTTAAACAAATTGTTTTCATTTTGGTCCATTTGACATAACAGAAAATGGAGATATAGGGATATACATACAAAACTATATGTTTTTATTACGGAAAGTTCAAATGGACATAACTAGAGAACGGATGGTGTTACTGCTCTTCGGTTTGTTTTATTCGCTTCCATTTCCCCTCATGAAGAAAATTCACCCTTTGAAATGAGAAGAAATTCAAGAAAAAACATACTCACCGAAAAACGTCACTACATATTGTGATGTCAAACGTCCGTCATTTTGGTCCAAAAATGTAATTAAAGGATTACGAAATCTTGTCAACATATCCAAAAAATGTAACACACAACTGTTCAATTTTCAACAAACAATGATAATTGTAGTTATAAAACAACTATATACGATAAATAAAGGGAAGAATTTCAGCGAATTGGTACTGATGTAAAGTTATTGGAACGCAAAATAGCCACATCTGAAGGTGAAGACGGAACTGAGCTGAGTAAAAAATTATAAGATAAGATATTGAATTGATATAGGTTTGGTTTTTACAAAGATTCTTATTTATTTCTCTAATCGCTAATTCACACTCTTAATTTTCGATAGTTACTTATATAAAACATTTTGAAATGTTATATGAGTGATACAATTTTTTTTTCTATAACCTGTAAAATTTCAAACTTCATCTCTGTTGACAGATGATGAAATGTCACTATTCATAAATAATTTTAATCCCACGGGGAAAAAATGTATTTTTCCCCGGATATATACAGGGTGTTGCGAAATTCGTCCGACAACGCTTGACAGGTGATAGCCCTCGTGATTTCATAATCACTGAGATAGGGACATACGGTCTTCAAGTGTTCAGTTCTCGAAATACAGGGCGTTGAAGTTATGAAATGAAAATAGTTTTTTCGCAATATCTCAAGAAAAATTGGATATAATGCATTCAAATTCGGTATATGGTGTCATCTTTCAATGGTTCATTTTTTGATCAGAAATACATTCCGAGAATTTTATCCAGAGGAGCCCTACAGAGGGTTGTGATAACTTTTCCTTCCATATTTTCTACGCCACTGATGAAATTCCGATCATTTCCAATTCGTCGAATTGATTGTTCAATAATGTTGAGAAACTGCATCATCTTCAACTGAGCTAAAATAAACAGTTATCGAGATGTTCGACCCAAAATAGAAGTTTGCGTAGTAATTTTTCATCTTCTTCAGTAGTAGAAGATTACAAACACTATCAAAGAGACCACATACTAAACATTGCGCTCTCAGCACTGGAAAACAGCACGCATCATTAAACAGACACCCAGGGGGATGCAGCCACGCAGACGAATGGCCAAACATGGACAAACCAAGGACTGTTTGATTGTACAGCATAATTTGATGGTATCTGCTGTGTAGCCCAAGAACGATGAAAAAAAAAGTGAGAATGTTTCAAGTTGCCAGAAGAAGCCGGAAATTCGACGATAGAAGACCACATGAATCTTTTCACCAAAGATGCCTGATCGGACTCTCTACTGATGGAAAATGTTTCAGTGTCTCCTATTGACAGTCATCTAACATCATTGAGACGATTGGACCAAGATGTCGTGTCGTCTACCAGTTATCACATCAACTTCCAACAGCCAGAATTTCCTCTCGTTTAGCTACCAACTACCTTGAAGGAAAGATTTCACTCTCTTGTCCAGGCCGAGGATACCTCTCGAGCCCAAAAACGATGCTGCCAAAAGTCCCATGACGATTGAAGGATGTCATGACCTTCGGTCGTCATTCCCTACCCCCAAAAAGCCAGCAGTTTCCTTCGTTCAGCTACCAACTACCTCGAAGGACAGTCTAGGAAATCTTAAAGCTCAAAAAATGCCACCTTAATATCCAAGACGATGATACCTCTCGAATAATCATAATAATTATAATTTAAAGAGAAATATTTTTTTCGTCGACCCCTATAAAAAATAC